TTCATTTTCATTCTGTTTAATATTCAACAAGTTGAACAGATAATCCACCCTAACCCCGCTACTTGGTATCGGTATCGGCATCGGCGAGTACCTAAACTGAAGTACTCGTACTTGTACTCAGTCTTGAAAAAACTGGTATCGGGACACCACTAGTGATAAGCATTCGTTGAAGAAATCAACCTTTAAGCTTTTTCTCTTGAGTTTCATTACTTTCATTACTTCCTCCTGCTCCCAGCTCGTCCTTCTCTACACTCCTCATTTCCCTCATTTTGTCATCTCTTCTATTTGCCCTCTCCTCCGTTTTTTTTTTTATAAACTTTCCTCTGCTCTGATCCAGCTTTGCTCCCACCTCTGATCTCCTACCTTTACTTATAACACTTCTTCTCTTTGTCCTTGACCATCATTATCATCATTCTCCTCTCATTCTGTCCTTCCTTTGTAACCACAAATGACTGAGGCTGCAGTCCTGAACTCACTGCGTTACCCCTATCTCACTGTTGTTTTTCTCCTCTGCACCCCCTCCTCCTCACTCCCTCTTCTTTCAGCTCACTGCCAGGCTACCACAGCCCAAACTGTTCAGCTGCAACTGTTCCAAGCCCAATAATTACAGCTTGTCAGAAAGAATTAATTTTCTCATTTCTCATAAAGACGTGTAAAAAATTACCATGTTATTATAACGCTGCCACTCTCTTGAGGCACCAACGAAAACCAAATTTAATTTCGGGAATTCTTCCCTCGCACATTAAATTAAACACATAAATAAGAGTTTAGGAATTGGAGTGGGTGGGGTGGCGGGGTGGGAGATTGTCGGGCGGGGGGGGAGCATATGGTCGTTAGGCCAGCCCCAGCTCTGGGTAATGGCCGTCGTAATGTTTTGATGGGCCCGGCTATTGGTAAGCACCAATACATTTGCATGATCACCGTCGCGGCAGGCGAGCGAGCTGCCAATTAGCTCTCATACAGCTCTGGACAGTGCTGGGAGGAGGAGGAGGGGGGACTGGGGATTCGTTTGGCAAAAGAAACACACAGTGAGATATGGAACGCAGCTAATTAACAAGCACGTATGGAGAAAAGCATATTTACAACAGGGAGATCCTCTGAGGGATGTGTGGCTTTTCGTGGAGAGTGATATCTGTTCAGGAAACAATTATGAAATAAAGGAGAGCAAAGCTTACAGTTCTGTGGCACAAATCCATCAAGTGTATTGTAGAATCTGGTCTTTGTCATTTTATGTAACTTTCTTTTTATTGTCTTTTTGCTTCATTTTAGCTTTTAGACTTAACGAGACAAGATTTGTGTTTCCATGTTCAGCTACCTGTTACACATACGTTTACAGTTTTTTAAATTGAATCATATTTTCCTTTTGTGAAGTGAAAATTTGACCGTTTGTTAATAAAAATTAGGTGAAAGAATTGATCGTTTTTAAAACAGCACCGCATTATTGACATTTTTCTCTTGCTTTTTTGTCATTTACAACCACATTATCTGATAATGTAAAATAACAAAATAAACACTTTTACAATTTCTAAAAACTTTAAATGAACTGCACATGCATTCATCATAATTTGGGAGTAAAACACAACAATTACGAAACTTCTAAATAATGTCCGGACTTACCAACTACAGTTTGGTGGTCTTCATTCTTCCCTGGTTCTGGTTCAGACTCTGGCTCCAACATGTAAGGCTGGATGGGCAAGTCTTCCCTTGTTGACGTCTTTTAATTAATTTGTAAATAAAAAGTTTCTGCGCAGTTATATAGTCCTAAACTCTATCAAATTAGAATGAACTGATCTGGAAGCTGGAGGGGGTGGGGCATGATGCGCTTTGTTAGTATTTAAAGAGACAGCCTCAAAACGAGTTGATCTGAGACAGGCCTCAGAAAAAGAGCGGGGCTTGTGGAGTTACAATAAGGAGGAATTCAGACCAAAGCATTGCCGTTCCACTTTATATAGACTCCAACTAAATGATTTAAGTTAATTTTTTTGTTTTTATTATTTGGTTTATCAGAAAAGAGGTCAAAGAGGTGCTTATGGAGTTACAATTAGGAGGAACTCAGACCAAAGCGTTGCAGTTCCACTTTATATAGACTCCAACTAAATGATTTAAGTTAATTTTTTTGTTTTTATTATTTGGTTTATCATTGTTTTAAATATTTTTTAAAGGAGCAGATATCATAAGAATTTTTTTTCTTCTGCTGCTGCCTTTTATTTTATTTTGTATTGTTTTGTCGTGTGTGAAATGTTTTGTTTAACGAAATGAATAAATATGACGTGACTTGATTTAAACGTGAAAAGGAGGATTTTAAAAGCATCATATGTCTACTTTAACAGCACAAACAGCAAATTCCAGTAAGATCTTAACAAATGTTTTTATATTTCTATAGTATATTTTTATGAGCAGACATGTATATAATAGTTAGTTCTTAAGCATAAATAAACAATGTTGGTTTTGGAAGTAACTAGCCTTTACGGATAAAGCATTAAAATGTGTTAATTTATAGATTATTAAGTATGAACCATCCGTAATTATTGATATTGTCAAGGTTAACTAACCATTAATTAATGAGTAAGTAAAGCTAAATAAGGTGTAGTTAAAAGTTAATTAACCATTAATTATGAGTAACTAAGGCTAAATACGGTATAGTTAAGGTTAACTAACCATTAATTATGAGTAACTAAGGCTAAATAAGGTGTGGTTATTATAGTGTTGATGTTTTCAAGATTAACTAACAATTAATGAATAACTAAGGCTAAATAAGGTGTAATTACAGGGTTGATGTTTTCAAGGTAAACTAACCATTAATTAATAAATAACTAATGTTAAATAAGATGTAGTTATTATAAAGTGCAACAGTTTAACTTTTTACCTGTTGCCAGTATTGAAACCTTTCTAAAGCAAGCGAAGAAGGACGGGGCTTCAAGACACATAGAGAAGGAGCAAAGGCAGATGATGTGATGTTGGAGTCTATTTCTTATGACCAAACAGTGAAGTTAGATTTTATAAAAATGGGATTGAATTGGATTTGAACATCAGTCTTGCTTTGTCATATGGGAAACTCTCACAATAACATAAACTTACCAAGCACAAATGAACAAGGTGTCCCCTCTAACTCCTTGGCTCAGTGAAAACAGGGACTTTCCCTGCCTGCAGCACAGCCCACACACACATACACACATATTCCCAGGGACACACATGGCAATAGGTCACCCCCGGTTGACACACACGCTGTGGGCAGAGCTATGGTTGATCTGACAAGGCCGAGACAAACATTCGTACATCCATAACACTGCGAGACACACACAGGCGACGGTCAGCGGAACCGGTGCCAGCTACATCTCCTCAGCAGAGCCACAATCTGTGATCGTGACACTGCCTTGACACACACTGTCTGGGCGTCTTCACACACAACTCCACGCGCACGCACACACCATGCAAGATGACGACATGGCGTTGTTCCGTGGTCATTTGTTCTCACTGTTCTCCTCTGACTYCAGGCCTTGTTGTCCACAGAGTGACCCGCTGCTTTTTGTCATCACAGCCAAGCCACAAATAATAAAGCCAAAAAAATACAAATAAAAACTAGTCAAAACTATTTTTGAACTAACTTTTGTCATAAATTGTCAAAGTTCTGTACACTCTGAGAACAAATTGTAGAAGTATAGTTGCTTGTAAAGTTCATGTGTTAGATTAGAAATGTGTTTCAGCAGTAACCTCTGCAGTATTTATCACAGATTATAATCTGATAACTACACTTTCTTCCACTCCACCCAGTCTGACTTTAATACAACTTTGCAGGTGAAGTAAAAGGAGCAGAATCAAATGCTCTGAGTGATGGGTGGAGAGGTTTAGGTCAACCCGCTGCTGTTGTGCCTCTGATGCACAAGACGATGCAGTTAGAGTTGCAACAATCGATGTGCAAAGGTAATCCAGCTTTGTGACTTAACGAGATGTAGAAATGGCATGTGGTCTGTGAAACTGTCTCACTGGGACATTTMAAAGCCTTAACGACATAGAAGATCAATGACCATACTTTTTCCCTTTTTGTAATGGGTTAACCACGGAGAGGATGTCTAAAATTTATCACATTTTAAAAACACAAATCCGTCACACTTAATGTGGCTTAGCTGAGATCTGCTCCAAGCCTCTTTTGGTTCTGTAACGCTTCCATTATTTCTGAAAACCCACTTCAACGTGGGACATGGCCAACTCAGGAAGTTCTTCATGAACAGTCAAAGTGAGTTTAAACCCGGACAGGTCTTTGAGGCTAATTTGTAAAAGTGCCTTTAGATTACGAATGTTTTTTTAAAGAATCTTCTGATTACACTGCACTTTTATTTTAGTGTGATTTGTGCATTTTTCATCAATAACTAGGTCTTACACAATTTTAAGCAGAAAAAAAACAAGAAATGGTTGTATTCTGAGTAGAAAGTTTTAAAACACTATTTTTATACGTAAAAAAAGAACATCTGGAGCCTTACCAGGTGCTTAGAAAATGATCTGAAGATGTCCAAACGCTGTTCTGTCTTCCAAACCCTTCATTCCTGGAGACAAAGAGGGAAACGTCAAGGAATTACTGATGCCACAGTAATTACCAACACAAAAATGGCTGTAGTTTGGTCAGTTTTATGGATATTGACTTCAAATTTGTTGCGAATGTAACATAGTTCTCAATAACACCATGCTGCAAGAACAAACTGGTTGCATACGATCTTTATTTAAACGTTTGGGTTTGAGTTCGCAAAGTAATCATTTGATTTTATTGCATAACTTTTTGAATTAAACCAATTCAAGATGGTGGCCACAGTCAATCAACCACAGCAAACATAAAAATGGTTATGAGTCAGTTTTGCAGATAGTGAGCTAAGATTTAKTGCAGTAGTAGAGTCATCCCAAATGCGTGCTGAGTGCTAAGATAACCTGCAAGATCTTTGTTGAAAATGTTGCCATGCAAGGCAGCAGGCAACGTGCATTTCCTCAATGAATGATGGTTTCTTTACTGCTGTGAAGTTGTCAAAAAAAAACAAAAAAGTCAAAACCAATGGGAAAACACTGTTTGACAGCTTACATATATGGGAGAAAAATTCAACACCTAACTTTTTGTAGCCTTTAACAAACTTTTATCCATTTTTGACAAACAGACCTTGATTTTCTACTGTTTTTTTTAACTAAGGTGAGAATAAGAAATTTAACAAACAAGTAAGAGAGACAAAAACTTGAAAAAGCACAGAACTCTTTCCTCCACTCATTCTTTTAACCTTCTGTTTCTCACCCCGACATTCCTCCTCCATTCACGCCAGAATTCTTCAATCTATAAATATCAACAAGCGACTCTATAGAACCACACACACACACACACACACACACACACACACACAAGTCTAAACCAATGAACACAGTGTCGTATTGTTGCCAGCAGAGCCAACACACACTTCCACGGCCATTACTCCCCATGGAAACAGGAGTGTGTGTTCGCGCACACATGTGATGTTGACGTCGTACCCGCACACAGCGGCTGCCTTAAACAATAAGCTATTTCAGGGCCAAATCGCTGACAAAAATCCATTTTTCCACCCCACTAAAAAAGATCAGGAATGAGGGTGGGAGAAAAGAGCAGGATAGAGAAAAAAGCTGAAATCAAATCAACAGTGGCGCACATCTCTCTTAAGCTGGATTTATCTCTGTATTTTGTCATCTTTTCTAATTTATTCCCCAACCTGCTTACAATTACTGCCTTTTCAGAACTCATAACGCCGGCTTGTTGTTGTTGTTGTTTTGGGGAGATTGCGTGGTATCTGCAGATGAACGAGTGGGGGACTTGCATAAGGTGGTAAAGCTCCTAGTGTACTTTTGTAGATTATCCACTTGATACTGATTCATTTTCTCCCTCTCTTGTCACAGTTTTGTAAAAGAGGCGATGTAGGACAAACACACACACACATACACACACACACACACACACACACACAGAGCACTGTAGAGGATGGGAGTGGGCTCATCATCTTTAGCTGTGATTACAACACTTGGCAAGCTCTCCCCTGCCTGTTTGCCTGCCTATTGCCTTACAAATGGATTAGTAAACCCTGTTCCATTTGTGTGTGTAGCTTTTCCGAGATTTAGGCTGACTTACAAATAACACCAATCAGATTTTGGAACAGCCGTTGTGTACTCTTCTCTGGGCAAATATTGAGCGACGTGATGTGGGGACAGCACTTTAGTGTTGCTTGTACAGTATGTACTTGATTTGGAAAAGCACTGGACTCTGAGTGTGTGTCTGTTTGTGTGGAGATTTGATGAGCCTTAAACTTTCAGGCAGCGGTTAAWCCACAGGAGGCCTGCTCGCTCATCCTCTGGTTTACAAGTAACGGAGCAGAGAACAACGCCGATGAGAAGAGGTATTGAGACAGCAAATACAGAGGATCCACAGGGTCAGGCAGCAGCATTTATTGTTACATTCAAGTCTTTTAAACTTGGAAAATGCAGTTTTCTACGTGTAATTGTCACTAAATATGTGCCTACTTTGAAAGAATTCAAGGCCATACAGCGAGTAAAATAAGTATTGAACACATCACCGTTTTTCTCAGTAAATATATTACTAGAGGTACTAATGACATGAAATGTTCATCAGATGTCGGTAACAACCCAAGTGATCCATACATACAAAGAAATCAAACCATAAATGTCCAGAAATGAAGTTACTT